AAGCTCTATTTATGCGTATCTCGCTTCAGTCGTCTCAGTGACGCAGCAGTACAAAACCGGTCTTGCAGCTGCGCACGCGGCTCAACTAACCAGTCGTACAATCGCAAACAAACTACACTGCTTGAGGACACTACAGTTTTATTGTCCTCATTGTTGGAAAGGCTCACATATAATCAGATAAACAAATGGGTCTTTGTAAACCACGAAATGTTTTTGAGCAACAACAAATGCCCTATATTTTTTAATAAAATATAATGTGCTTGGAACGTAAATTTTCAGTATATTAAAATACAACTCATATTGGAATTATATCTGTTTTGATTTTTCAATGATAGCAGAGGTATACGAATTAATAAACATTTAAGCAAGTTCAATTGTTCAAGTACAATTAATTTGGTAATATATTTTAGACAATAGTATAGAAAACTTTTGTTGGTGTTTGTACTTAATTTTATCATATCGATCCTCGAGTTGGTTAGAGTCCAGGCACGTTTCGCGTGATCTCGGTCAATGTAAATCATCTACGGTCTAATAAATTGATTCAGATGCCGATTAACTATCAAAAAGGACGTTATGAACAAAATTATCGATAGTTCTAATCGACCATCACTGCGGAAGTACGTTATAATAGAAGGCAATTAAATAATTCATTGATATTAAACGCTTTATGGTTCATCATACAATCATTTTCATATTATCCATCATTTTATCAGTTATATATTTTGTAGTACTCCGTGTCGTATATTTTCGGTAAAAATTAGGTAATCTGAGCCATTCGGTTATTTTTTTTAAACTTAAGGGCCCAGAAGTAGTTCTAATCAAATATAAACAAGAAATAATTAAAATCTTTTTTACTTCTGATGAAGATGTAAATATAAGTTACAAAAGAAAACTATGAAAAAGCATAGTATTTATTATAACTGCTTAAATATGCTGGTCTAAAATTGTATAACTACCTTGTAACTATATTTTCGCAAATAATTAAATATTATTGTTGTAAAAGTGTAAATATAAGTTACAAAAGAAAACTATGAAATAGCATAGTTTTTTTATAACTGCTTATTAATATACAAATACGACCGTTTCAACGACAGTATTAAGTTGCCTAGGAAGTGTGGATATAATTTCTTAGAAACTATATTATGATACCGATCATATAATATCTTTTCATGCATAACAATGAATGTTGATTTGACATTTGCTATTTTTTATGTAATTCAATTTTTTGACATTTTCTTTCATATAAAATCAGACAATTTATTGTATATTGACTTTAATATTTGCACATCGTCTTGACAATAAAATATGCTGGTCTAAAATTGTATAACTACCTTGTAACTATATTTTCGCAAATAATTAAATATTATTGTTGTAAAAGTGTAAATATAAGTTACAAAAGAAAACTATGAAATAGCATAGTTTTTTTATAACTGCTTAATATACAAATACGACCGTTTCTACGACAGTATTAAGATGTCTAGGAGGTGTGGATATAGTTTCTTAGAAACTATATTATGATACCGATCAAATAATATCTTTTCATGCATAACAATGAATGTTTCTAATAAACATCAAATCACAATTTACAGTATGAAGGTTGAATTGTAAACTCATTTGGTTCTTAGAACTCGAAACTTGGTAAGCTTTGGTTGGGATAGTTACAACTCTCATATGTGACTGTGGTCATTATATAAAATTTTTCTGCTGTTGTTTCCGTTCTGTTGTGTTGTTGTATTTAATGAATCCATTTTGGATTCGTATTTCCTACGACAGTCGAGGTCTAAAATTTATTGTCAAGAAAGATTGTTTGTCTATGAACTGTAGCGTTTATTTAAAGAAAACAAAATGTACAATTAGATCTTACTTTATTATCGCAGTAAATCTGGATTTTTATCATGAAAAATTATAAAGTACGAATAACATCACAATAAGTACACATTATCTTGGCAAATGTCTAATGAAGAATTTACGAAGCGCTGACGTAGATTCACGTTTAAAAAAAGTGCATGAAGATTATTTAACTTTAAAGCATTGTTGCGAAACGTCTGATACGGTGTATCTCAAACTGTCGGTGGTGTAACGCAGGCCCGTAATTGGTTGGCCCCGTTTGTACGAAGCACGTAGTACCACGACACACTTCCACGAAACGTGCCTATCTCAGCTAGATAGACAGATAAATCTTCTAAGGACAAGCTAGAAGTGTCAAGAACGACAAGTACACGTCACCGTTGACGATGTGTCTATTTCCCTTTATAGGTATTTCGTGTAAGTTTTTAAGATCGACTAGGATGTTAACTGAATTTCACTCATATACCTCCACTGTTCATAAGTTTCCCTATCTATAACAGAGTTGTATTTTAAGTCTAATGAAATGATACGACTCAAACGTAAAAACCATAGCAAGTTGATAGTTTGTACTTCTTTTTCGAATCAATCGCAAAGTTCAATTACATAAATTGATGTAAAAAGAATGCAAAATGCAAGATAAATAACGTTTTAATTATTTTATGTTTCACATCTTCATATTTATTTAAATCAGTGTCTAATTGATCGACTTGATAAAATCGAATAATGTACTTTTTCATGAGATTAAGTCAACGGGTAGAGTACTATGGGTTTACTTAAAATAATATGTCTTTGTCACGAGATATACATAATAGTTATAGTTTAAAATATGCCAATTGAGAGCTTACTACATGTTAACTTCAATTCAAATTAATATATTCTTAAATAAATATGTTAAACATGCTTATGGGTTCGAGTCCCATCTCAGATGCCAGGGACAAAGTGGATATTTTAAGAATTTATCATTAAAAATATGAACTATATCAAAATCGCGATATTTTAATGTTATTAACTAAAGTAGGTACTTTAGTTAGTAACATTAAAATATAGCGACTTAGTAGTTACTAAAGTAGCTTTATAAGGTTTCGCTTGTAGAGACTACAGATGTTTTTTTAGATACTGTCGAAATTTCACAATGGCGCTATCTTTTCTTTGTTACACTGTATGAATTACAACACGAAGAAATATGTTATCACTAAATAAATATATTCTGTGATGAGACAATGCATCTTTATAACTAGCTGATAACTTGTGATGTATTTTTAGGTATGCGATAAATAATGTGTTTTAGTTTTGGTTACTTATTAACTATTTACTTATATATATATATATTTACTTATATATACTTATGTTACTTATATCTATAAAAATTATCGAAATAAAAAATGGGGAAAATACTCGGTCAATTTTCACACATTAAATATATTATGTTTTGGTTGATTACTTTCAATGAAATCAGAAAAAGTCGTAAAGTTTCTTTCTATTATTTGTTTACCATAACCTCTGCGGCACATCCGATTTTTCCAACATAAATGGAACTTACTTTACAAAAGTCGAATACAGATTTAAAGCTCTACTTAATTTGGCTAAAGAGGTTTGCCATCACTATTATTAACCGTCGCGCCTTTTCGGTATCGCAAAGCAAATTGAATTTTCAATGGTGGCACAGTGCACCCAAGAGACGAATCGAATTAGATTTGACCTGTTTTTTTTACACAATTGCAGTTAAACGGACTTACACCTTTGTATCATAAAACTAGACTTCTGACCTCAACTGCATTAGTCAGGTTTTTAAAATCCTTATTGAACCATTTAATGGGATAAAATCGTTTAAAATATTAATTCATAGACTAGATGTGTTGAAAATACCATAAATATTGTTTTTTGTTTGGTCGTGAATAAATAACAACGTATAGATTACACATTAATAAGATGTTTGAAGAAACATAATTAGACATTAAAAACATAAATTTCATCTTACTATTACTACATGAATATTAGACGTTCTATGATTATAACGTCATTATTTGAATTGGTTTATATTTTCACCCACGATTTTTCGTCATAAATATGTGTCGTCAACGTGGGCGAGCGGATGTTGGTTTGCCAAACGGTTGTTAATAGAATTTTAATGTAAATTTTATAAGTTCCGTTTTTTCACAAAACGTTGCATATATTATGTAAGTATACCTTGAATTATACGTGAAAAATCTATTAACAAGTAATAAACTAGGATCCCCGTTGCGATCATAATAAATTTATGTTAATGATTTGATTAGTATGGTAAAACCGCGGTAATTATCTAATACCTATCTTCCGCTTAACGAAAAATTTTAAATGTAAAATGTATGTACCGCAAAAGTTACGACCGGCGCCAGCGTGCGGCGTCGTAAATAGTAAAAAGTTCTCGGCCAATCGTAACCGAGGACAAGGGTTCTACGAACCCGCGCACGAGCTCCATTGGTCAAAATACGCGCCAACTTCGGACCGGTTTGAGCGCTACTTGTGGACACGTGCGCCTATGTTTGTGTGTATCTAATAAGCTGAATAGAAAGTTGTGCTGTGATGTGACGAAGGTAATGACAGATCGAGACCCTTGTGTTTCTTAATTGGAATTATAATCGTAAAGCTATAATTATTCCTTCCTATTGCTGAGCTTTTATGTCGCAATCAAATTGATTGAAAACCGTTGGAAAAATACATTTCTTAATCAGACAAAACCTTGAAAAAATAACGAGTAACTAAAGAAAGTACTGCATCTAGATAGATGGTTATCACGAAGCTCCAAGTCGTCCTATTCTATGGAACCAGTCGGCCGGGTAGATTGAACCTCGGCGCCTCTGAATTCGCAGCACGTAATAAAGGAGCTATTTCGAGCCACCAACACGCTTCTAGTAATTACAACAGTGAAAAACTTGCTAACGTTTCCTAGACGTCCGAGATTGCTATGCCGATTACGCAAAAATTATTTATGTGATGAACAAGAGTATGCGTGAAACGAGTTTTTATTGTATTCAAATAAAAAGTTTTGATAACGTGCATGGCAGTGTAAATTCTCATTATATGTGCTGATCAAAACGCTTACAAGAGACTTTACAAAAGCTTAGTCATGGCGTGTTGAAAGCTCAAGCTCGGGGTATGATTTGAGTGGCTGCCTATTGTTCGCAAAGGTCAGTGGTGCCCGCCCGAACCGAGGTCACGTTCTCTCTTCTCGATAGTGCGCTAGTGGTCAAATTTGGTTCATTGTTCTCCCACCTTTCTAACTATAGACAATCCTATTGTAGCTCCAACATACTGTCTACAAATAAAACCAGTAAATATCTTTAATAAATCACCAATTTGTCTTTATTATCAATTATGCCGTTACTTTTTAAAGTGCTGACGAAAGGGACATTTTACACGCCAAGAATAAATTATCTAAACCGAAATTTAGTCGCATAAGCTATAAAATGTGCCTCAAATATTATGTAAGTAGCTAAGTAAATATATCAAGAAACATAATCTTACAATTTATACAAATCCTACCCGAAACCAACCAAAACCTACTGCCCGCTCTATATAGGTACATTAGCCAACATTGTAACGATTGTTAAGGCAAAGATATATTGTAATGGCGTCCACACATATAATACCTTCTAGATTTAGTTATTTTTTACATAGTTGGCTTCGGTGGTTGTCACGCAAAACTATTCGCAAACATATTGATCAAACGTATTCGCCACAATATATTGGCTAATGTGTAAAGCGGGCATAAAGCATGATACTTTTTAAAAATGCTTAAAGAAGGTCAGTCATCAAATTTTAATAATGACGTCCCTTTTAACAACAGCTGATTATTCTTAAATGGAGTACAATGTTAAAAATGGCACTTACTTTTAAAGCGCAAAAAATGCACGATGGTCCGAGGCAAGCGTGACCGGTGAGCTCACGGAAGCTGCGTCGGAATATGTCCAGATGCCACAGCACCTGCGGGCAAACACGGAATTACCCTATATAATTACAGTTAATAATTGTCGTAATCAAAACGGTAACAATCGAGAGACTTTACAATCATCATCAGCCTATGTTGGGCTCAGGCCTTCCTTAAGGATTAAATAAAATCACACTAGCCCAGTGCGGATTTATGGGTATTAATGACTGCAGATGCAGCCAGGACCTTTTTAACGTGCCTTCCAAAACACTAGAACACATTTCTGCAATCAATTCCGAACTTAGATAACTAGCGACAATTAATAGAATAACAATTTGGCAACACGCTTGTTGTTCGCACTGTATAGGCTCGTACATTTTGGATCGATTTTGAAAAACGCTTTCAGTTACGAGAAGCTACATCATACGCGAGTGACATAGGCTTTAATTCACGCATGAAAAACTGCTAGAATCACTACATAGTATAAAACAAAGTTGCCTTCTCTGTCCCTATATCCCTATGTATGCTTAATGATTTAAAACTACGCAATGGATTTAGATGCGGTTTTTTTTCATAGATAGGGTGATTCAAAAAGAAAGGTTTTTATGTATAATACAAGAAGCTGCTTGCGTAAAGCTAGTATTATCTAAAGATAAATTAAGGAGTAGTTACATATCAAAATTAATGACGCTACAGGTGTCTAGTGTGTACTTTACGAGACGTGACTTGAATACATAGAAAAAATAGTACTACATATTTTTAACATCTTCCTAATTTAGGCGCAATTATGCTTGAACGAATAATTTATAAATTCATCGAGTCTATTATCGGTTCAGGTGCACAAATGCAGGTTTTACTTTCAACTATGAGCACGACGCACGACTCAGCAGGTGTAATAAATGGCATATGTTTCATCCCATTTTTCATTCACACTATTCTTAGTAAAAAAAAAGTTTGAGCTACATCTATTATAGCACGAACGTGATACAATACATTGAAAAATATTTAAAAACACCTTACTAAGGTAATCTAATAAATAAAATTATATAAATAAAAATATTTAGTAGTTTCGGGCACATACAGCCTAAAATTTAACGTATTAAAGACACAGCTGAAGAAACTTTAAAGTAAAATGTAATAAACTGAAATAGCTCGAAATAGTAGGTGCCGTCGATACTCCCATGGTCCATTCATTGAACTTCAAAATAATTCTAGCTGCCTTCCCAATTATAATAATAATGTTGACAGTTATGTTCACTAATATAATAGTTATATTTAAAAGCCATCTGTCTGTCAACATCGTTAGTCACAAGGCTAAAGAAGACTTGGAAGGTGGTTATTTTTTGCTAAGCCACATGTCGCTACACCTGACGCGACGTCGCGTGTCTCTTATGCGAGTGCCGCAAGCGACATATGGGGATGTTACAAGACGTTATTCTTAAACATTTTTATCAATATCATAGATAATTATGTAAATTATCTTGTTTATATTAGTCTTATTTTACCGTTATTACTAGTCCGATGAAATCAAAGACAACTGCCATTTCACAAACGTCCATTAAAATTATCATTAATTTACAGCGTAATTACCAGTACAAATTTTCAAATTTAGCTTCAAACCGTCATTAAACCTCAATAGATATCCATAACAAGTTTACCTTCGTCATTTTAATTATTTACAGAATTGAAAAGGCAATATTAATTTCACTTTCTTGAGTGTTTCAATAGGCAGGGCCACTTTTTTAAATTTTCTTTCTTAAAATAAAATATATAAAAGCTATGAAATTCTTAATGAAACTATTATTTAAATTAAAAATAAATGTTTTACATTCCTTCTTGAAATTATTGATTTTTCAACGATAAATATAAACGTGAGTTTTATCTTTTAGCGTATACCTCCATTTTTATATTAAATGGAAAAAGTTGTTTCAACATCTTTAATACGTAGGAAGGAAAATTCCAAATATTATAGGTATTGTTTAGCCATACAAATACAAGCAAACCTTTAAAAACTAGATATATAAAATAAAAGAAATAATGATGTTATTATAAAATCAAGTTCACAATGGAGTAATAATGTTGACAGTTCCGTAGGCGAAGCACACAGATATAACATATCCATTTCATATAAAGATCACCAAACACCAACACGAATCTCAAGATGCCGCCCACGCTAAACTTTTAAAAAATATACTCGATATTTCAATGCTGTCATTGAAAAAACATGATATGGTGTTAAATAGATGAATAAAAGATCTAGTTATATATACTAATTTAAAGAAAACATATTTTGGAAATCTATATTAGTGATTTGCATTTGGAACATTTTCTGTTATTTATTCTAAACTACGATCGAAAACTGGAAATTTAAAATATGTATATGCGTGATTAAAAGTAAAGTTTCAATATTCGAATTGTTTTGTGTACTTATTGATTTTATTATTTTATAGAATTGACGCTTAAATTGTTAAATAACAAACAAAACTACAAACTACAAATTAATACCGAAAAAAATATTAAAAAGATATTTGTTAACTTTTTTAATGTTATTGCACTTCAATTACATTAATGTGTAAAATTACATATAATTAATGTTATGTTAATAAAAAGAGAAAATAAATTCTACTCGGTCCTTTCTCTCATCAACTCTATTTCCAAATGTATTCGGACTCAATGATAATAGCGTTATATATTAACGTTTTCAAAACGTTTACGGTTTTATTATGTAAATATGTCAGTATAACATTACAATGTATTCACACAAGTAGTTTCGCTTATAAAATGTTGTCTTGTTTTATCACAATTCCACACCTGTTATAATATCGTGTACCGCACGAGTTTTTAGCGATTGTTTTAGGGCAGGCAGGTGTTGCTGGATACTGGTCCCGGCAGATGCGCGGATAACAATCGATTCTGATAAAAGTTTATGTTTTATTTTGCAATAAAGTAAAGTTTACCCAGTATGATAAAAACGATTGTTAAGATAAAATTTATTTTAGTTTTTTTTTAATAATTTTACAACAGTTGTCAAGACTTACGAAATGTGCTTGAAAACTTCAAATTCACTTACACGATAAATCATTTTTAGTTTAAATGTTCTAGAAAATCAAACCTGGACATATTGCTGCAATAAGTATTCTGTTGCTAAGTAATCAATCAGTTATATTGAATTTTAAATATGTAATTGCGATTGATGCATAGAACGACGCTGATAAAATCCGTGTTTTAACGACCTCATATATTTCATATTTTAATTTAAAGGAGGTATTGATTTATTATATTTTGATTAATTTTGCATTCACAATGCCAACAAAATGCTTAAAAAATTCACTTGGGCCCTGGCACCCTGAGATGGGAATCGAACCCATGACCTTTCGCAATCCGGGCGACTGCTCCAACCGCTGAGCTACCCAGGACCTAACAGGACTGACAAATCTTTCAAGCACTTGTTACTTTTCGCTACTTGAGAGAGTATTCTTATCAATGTTCAGGCATCCACCCAAACAGCCGAAAGAAATATTGTTACAAATATTGAAACTTTCGATAAAGATGAGAATTTTGTTCTAATTATTATATTTTGATTAATTTTGAAAAACCATAGTCAAAACTAGTCTTCCTCAGATCATATCCGATATATGCTAATGCTTAAAATTAAAATTTCTCAAATTGATATATCAAACTGTTCACGATTGCGTCATATAAATTATGTTTTATAATAAACTAGCGGAAGGATGACAGATGTACAGGAGCTTTCATCCGTCGCACAAATTAAAGCCTTAGGTGTTGACTACAGCACTAACTTTATTCACACTCCAAACTGTTTACTATTTCTAAAGGAGGAGAGTTCAAAATTTAATATAACTAACATATTATTCAAAATATATGTAAAGCAGAAACTACACACTTATCGTGTGTGAAATAAAGATTATAATCGTGTGTGTCTGTGTTAAAGCGAGTAAACTAGTAGTTGTTAGATAAACGGTGATCTGTGCGTACACGTAACTGGATTACTGTTAGACATTCTGTATGTGGTAATTTAAGTGGAATTACAACTAGCTAACTAACTGAATATAGAGGCATCAACTATTTAAAGCGAAGATTACCTCCATTTAATATAACAACTCTTCCACAGATTTAAAGCGTTATATGTTTTTTGTTTCTCTACATTTTCTTAATATTTGGGAAACTTTACATCTTTCATGTGATTATGTAACCCATCTTTTGTAGAATAACTAGCCATTATATTAAATGAAATTATAATCATAACGCCTTTCCCTTTTTTATTACGCGCTAAGAGAAACAAACATTAATAAAATGATTTGCTTGAGTCAGCTCGACTATGAAACTTTTTGTGACAAACAAAAGAACATCACGAAAAAGGACATGTTTGTTCAACAAATTTAAGATGAAAATATCTTAAAGATTCCGTTCTACCACGTAACAGGACCTCAAATATCCAAACAAAGGGACTATTGGCTAAAAAAAGAGTCCCTAAAGCTTTAACACCACTCGAATTGTATATGATGTTAAACGGTTTACAAAGTCTGTGTGTATGTGTGTGTGTTTGTAGACTGTTCAACTCTTGACAATCTTCTGCTAATGGAAGTGGAGTCGACGGGCGATAAGATCATTGGGGACAACTAAGAAAAATAAAGTATGATAAGAAATCCTTGTGTCTAGAGTCCAGAGAGTGCATGACACTTTTACTTTTAATCGACTAGTTAGTATGGATTTCGAAATGTACGAGTAGTTACGAAATGTAGTTTTTAGATAAGTAAAAGAAATATTCCTGGTATAGCATATATCATTATGTTTTAAAGATATCTGATGGTTTTGATTATGATTGCACGAAAAATACTTACCACCTAGTAATAATTATTAGGCATGACATGGGCATATACAGTAGAGGTTCCCTATTCGCTGGTGAAAAAATTGTAAGCCAATTTCTGTACTCGCGTCTAAAATCTGTTATTTGCAGATGCAATCGTAAAGGGCAATTGTAACATAAAGGGATTCAGTGTTGTTTATTAACGCATCGTCATCTTTTACATACTTCGGGAATGTGTCTAGGTGGCTTTTATTACGACTTGTAAATTTTGCTTCGTTGTAGCATTCATAAAAGCTATATTATAAGTGCTACAGCTACTTAGTTATGAGTCTGAATTTAAAGATCTGTTAAAACTGCAACAAAGGATTATGAATAAAATCTTTAAAAACACTTATATAAAGCTGATAATAAAGATTGATTTAAATAGGTAGTTCCTCAACAATTTTACAGCAATTGTATTTATTTTAACATACATATTGCTTATTATAATTAATCAATTTTGCATTTACAATACTATATTGGAAAGTATTCTTAATGGTAAATCTTAAGAAATCGATTTTGAGATGGGAGAAAGTGGATTTTTAATTTTTCTTTTCATTATGAATATATATATGCATTTATTTTAGAACCTTGGAACGTATCCCCTGCTAATAAAGAGCTACTACTGTATTATAAAATAGCTTTTGTGTGTTTTATTATTTAGTAATACCATAACCTTTACTGAAATAGCATAATCAATTTAAACAGGATACTCCTCCCTTATTTTCCAAAAGTAAGTATTGATTTATTCAAAATTTTAGATAGAAATATATTAACAGAATTTACAGCAATAACAAAAAAAGCTTATTATATTCAGTAACAATTATGTTTTATGAAAAATATAAAAATTTGTTTATAACTCGTAAATAAATTTATAAAAGAGACCAATCATGGACTTGGTTGAGTACGATTGTCTTTTTTAATGTCATATCATAAAAATTCGAGAGATCTGCTATATTTTTTTACAATCAAAGTAGTTACAAAACAAGAACTATAAAAAGAGTTATAAATAACTGTTTATGAGCCTCTTCCTACTTAGCCTCCAGTTATGTGTCGTGTAAGCATAAATTTATATTCAACTTGACGCACGTGCGCATCGGAAGGTCGCCATTAAGACTGGAAGCCTATTAGGATGTTTCTCCACCGAACTATGTGACATAACTGTATTTTTCATGCCATTTTCTTAGAATTACTATCGTATTTATAACTCTAATCAGTTCATTCCTCGGTATAGAAATACATTGTACATTTTTCTATAGCAAACACTTCATAGCGTTAATCCAATTTTCATTTTATTTCACTTACCCGTACCAAAACTAATATAAGTATGTGACGGGTTCTATGCTTAGGAAAATGAATAAAAGTCTGAATGAACTTGATTAAATTAAGGGTAAACAAATAAAAAAGAATATGCAAACAGTTCGTATGGTCAACGTAATAATATAAAAATAGTTAAATATATAGAACAATTACATACCCCTGTTTTTCGGGTTTGGTGAGTAATTTAACTTTATTATATTTGATTTGATATAGTTTACATTTACAACAGGTAATAATAAATTAATTCTAACGCTTTTTAACAACAAATTACTGTTGATTGAAATTAAGTATGAATAATGTTTCTAACTCGACGAATTTTCACAAACTAACATTCATAATCAGCATATTGGATTACTCAAATTTCAAATTACGAAAAGTGAATATTAAAAGTAAATTATGTTGAAGGTCAAAGACAAAAAGTTTGGAACGAAATAAACGGTTATACCTACGAATCACCATTACAAGTACAATGAAATATTTTTTTTTAATAATTAAATTGGACCGTCATCACATACGACGTGAAACTTTAATGTAATTAGAGACAAACTTCTGCAATCTATAATATTACTCGTTATTTAATACTGTACAATGTGTATTATTCTCATATTATTATACAAGCTCTTGTAGTTAAAACGTTGCCAGTGTATAATTATTGTGCGGTTATCGTCATAATTATTAATTAGGTTATAATTATTTTTAACGAACACCATTTCTGAAAGATTGGAAGCTAAAATCTGAAAAAAAAAATATGCTTAAAAGGGTGGTCACACTGGTTGTGTGTAACAAGTGTGTGTGATTTTTTAATCTTATTAATTCACAAATTATTACATATGTTGTATATGGTATACAAAACTATTTTTGAGGCGCAATTATCCATGCTATCTATCTATCTCATTGCTGCTCATTGTAACAGTCGTATGTTCCTACTTGTTAGTTAATCGCTGAACTGCAATCAAAAAGTACCTATTTATATGTACATATTTTTAGGCTTTAAAAAGAGTGTTATTAGATGACACGAATTATAAACTAACTCTTTTCCCGCGACTACGTCCGCATAACTTATAGCCTGTGTAGCGACGATATATGACGTTTTTTTAGTCGGTGCCATAGTTTCGGAGCATATTCAATGGAAACAAAAAGTCAAATCTTTTTTCTTTATAATATTAGCACCTATACATAGAAGTTTGTCATTTAAAGTTACCTACGCATTTCAGTCTCAAGTTATATGCATCTATAATTATTTTACAAATGTGGGTGTTAATCTTTTAATTCACAATTCAACATTCTATAAATGTTTATTTTTATCAGTTATTTTATCTGCAATAGAAAGGGTTAATAATAGCATTTTAGTTTTTTAACTATTGTGACTGTTACTGTCCTCATATTTTTTGTTCCAATAAATATAATTTTAAATTTAATTATATACAAAATTGCAAATATATTAAAATATAGATTCGCTTTTAGCTGGACGTCTACCGTATAGAGTGATAGCAGCTCGGTGCGTATAACCCCGTATAACGGTGCTCACACTGGCAAGTAGTTCAAAGGTACAACTTCGCGTGGCGTGGCGTCATCACGTACCTACTTCTGTGTCTGTATGAAAATATTGTCTGAGATGCATGATTTTAGTCTTTGTTGAAAAGTCAACGGCAAACTGTGAAAAGACAAACCGCCTTAGAAGAAACTTTACTAAATATATCGTCCAAAAGATTCATATTTCTGTTTTTTTATCATATTTGAAATGTCTGCTTTATTAAGATGGCTAAAAGATTTTGTGACATCACTTTTTGTATAAATTGTTATTTACCGTCCATTTTAATGTAAATATTAATAATATTCCATGACGAATTCACAATAGTTTAATTCAATAGATTCAACATTCACGTATTAGTGACGGTATATATCTAGAATGGGTTTTTTAATACCGATATAGTGAAAAATACCTGTCTATTGTAAGATAATTGTACAAGCGTTGAGATCATCGCTCTACCTGGCCTTACTTTAGCATGTATTCTCTGTTGTGAATGAATTCAACCGGTTTATTGGCTCAGCTTAATAGCAAATATATAAATATTCGAACAAGGAAATATTCGAGAAAATAAAACCCGATTTCATTTTATTGATCACTTACGCACTTTGGAAAGTACAATAAGGTAATGATTGGTAAATTTTATTTGCAATAGTCAACACCCATCAGTGCAATAGGCCCGCGCTTTCAATTTAAATTTAAATGTACTACCTACTATCTTTACTTGCATAAATAGTACAGAACTTTAATTCTATCCTGCATAAAAAACCTTAGTATAAGATAGTTTTGAGTTAGTTGTTGTAAATCGTTTTGGTTTATTACATTTAGCAGGCCACACACTAGTGACCCGCTAAAGCTTCATACGTCGTGATCTTCCCTGCCGCCGTAAATCAGCGTCCTGGAGAGTGATTGTGTAAAAAACCAAACCTGAATTCAAATTCACTCAGCTTCTTACAGCCGACTCCGTTGCTTCTCATCCTTGGCAAACCTCATCGTGTCTCTGACTCCGTGATGACTTCATGAGATTCATGCTGCATCGAGTTTCAGTAACATCTTCGCGCACAATCAATTTAAGTTGTATATATATATTTGTATATAGTTAGTTGTATTTAGTATAAGATTTTTATGACAAAGTACCTTATTTTCCTCTTAAATTTATTATTTTAATATTCCACGACGAATTCACAATAGAATTATTATTAACTAAAAGCTTTACATTTACACATTCTACGACTGTATTGCCAATTTTCATCAAGTGCGTTTATTGCTACTCGTAATTAAGTAACATCTTAATAAACATCATAGTGTGTATCATGTTTAAAATATTATGAAGAATATGAAGATCTTAAAAAGTAGCTACAGCTCAATATTCCATTTAATAAAAGAGTATCTCGATTATAAGAAAAGTAATCATTCACTTATGTTAAACACCTATAAAATCCTTCGATATGTTACATAATTGTCTTCTTAGCACTAAGAGTTTCTTACGTGTAACAAATGATTACTATCAGGAGGGTCAGTTTCCACACGTTTTTGTGGGGAGTGCAGTGATGCGTCCAACATATTGAATTTATTATGGAGTAAAAACTACTATTTGATGGGCAGTGCACCGCGTGGGAAACGCACAACTCGCACGATTTATACTAACCTTAATCGCGTAATCTGTTTACTATTGTTTTTTATCTGTAGTAAAAGAAAGACAGTGGGTTATGCTTTTTCATTTCAATTTTCTTGTGAACACGCTAGACGTTCATTACACTGCGTTTTGTTCCACACTTTTGCTGCTCATTCGGTTTTTCAATATTGATTTTGTGTTTTCACGTAGCAAACGTAGCAAAAGCTACGAACCCCACGCGTTTGGGAGCCCCGTGAAATTGGGAGCCTCGCTATGGATTAGAGCTAATAAATTATTTTTGACAAGTCAGTGTTAAAAATTCAATAAATAAAATAAGCCACGCTTCTGACTAACTCATATTTTTCTTCTTCTACTTATATTAACTTATATTATTTGTGCATTTCACACAATTCTTCAAATTTCAAGTTAATTAATTAATTTCTACATGTTAAATGAAAATTAAATGTATGTACGATGGGGTGTGTACTCATATTTTTGAATACAAACATAAACTGATAAATACGAGGGTCAAACTGAAAGTTCTTAGAACTGGCCACTTATAAACAATATAATAAAAAAATAATTCTAAAATTTGAAAATATAACTCTTTGCCAATATTACTGAGTATATATTTCATTCATTTGTCATTTGTTTTACGATTTGGCGGCAAATTGAAAATTGTCTGTGTCACGTCATCATGAATTTAACACGAGAAAATTTTCGTGCAATGATTTTTTATGACTTTCGATGTCATTTAAGTCAACAAGAAAGTTATGATAGACTACGATTGGCCTTTCACGATGAAGCCCCATCTCGTGCGACTGTTTACAACTGGTTTAATGAGTTTAAACGTGGTCGCACTAATCTCACTGATGATTTACGTGAGGGACGGCCTTCTACGGCGACGACTGAAGATAACATCTGTGTTGTGCGGCGTATGATAGAGACTGACAAAAGAGTGACCTATCAACAGATTCGGACAAGCTTAGGCATCGGTATGAGTCAAGTGCACAAAATCCTCCACGAACATTTAGCGGTCAGGAAGCTTTGCGCCCGGTGGATACCTCATAATTTGACTGAGGCTCAAAAACTCCATCGTGTGGATTGGTGTCGTAAAATGATTGAAAGATTTAACGGAGGTGACTCAAATGCTGTGTTCGACATACTAACAGGTGACGAAAGCTGGATTTACTGTTATGATCCTAAAACCAAAAGACAATCTGCTCAGTGGGTGTTTCCTTTCGAGGAGTTGCCAACTAAAGTGAAGAGAGATCGAAGTGCGGGAAGAAAAATGGTGGCCTCGTTCTTTGGAAGGATAGGTCATTTTGCAACAATTGTGTTAGAGGATCAAAAAACAGTTTCTGCAGAATGGTACACTACCAATTGTTTGCCACTTGTCTTGGAAAAAGTTCGAGAGAAACGACCTCGCAGTAGGATCCTCCTTCACCACGACAACGCCTCGTCGCACACCGCCAAGCGAACGATCGACTATTTGGCGACATCAAACGTTGAATTACTGGGTCACCCGCCGTATAGCCCCGACCTCGCGCCTTGTGATTTTTATTTATTTCCAAAAATTAAAGAAAAACTTAAAGGAAAGCGGTTTATGAATGCTGAAGAAGCGGTGGCTGCGTATCGCGATGCCATTGAAGACACCCCTAAGGACGAGTGGGCAAAGTGCTTTTCCCAGTGGTTCCATCGCATGCAGCGGTGTATTGACGTGAATGGACAATATTTTGAAAAGATATAATAAAACTAATAACTGGCTAATGTAATCAGTTTTTGATTTTCTAAGAACTTTCAGTTTGACCCTCGTATAACTCAAGTCACAGATTAATTGTGTTATATTATTCGGACAGCAAAGGACGACTTTTCTGTTGGCACTGATTATTATAGATTTTGTCTACAAAATTTTGAAGGGTTGAACAAAGATTGGAAACATCACAAGGCCGCAAATCTGTGCTCGTGTTTGACAAAAATGTACCTAAGAATTGCATCTCAATAGAATCACCACTACTTGCATTTTATCAATGCACTATCTTTCTGAAGAGTATCTTATATACATCTGTCACACTTCTGAGGAAGATATTGCACTAATAATATTTGACCTCGGGTAGATAAGAGTAGTACAATTGCAATTGAAATGCGATTATTACTTAATTAAACTAATGTTTACGCGTGTTTGGCAGAATCGGAACCCTGGTTTATAGCCCCCCACGAAGACTCATTGCAGAGTAGTGGTTGTTAACGAATTCAGATGCAGTAGACACCAGAGAGTCCTATGTGAATTTATTTTTGTGAAAATTGTAAAACAGTCACAATCACAGACAAACGAAACACTGTTTAATACTGTACATATCAAAAATGAAATGGTGAGACTGTTGCAAGTTAAATATAAAATAAAGCTTGCGACACATACGATGCAAGTAGATTTAATTAATTGGCTAGGGTGCCGAACTGCGACAGGAAGTGAATTTGAATCGTAATATAGCAGAGGCACTTCCCCCGCGGAAACGCGCGCACCTTATTTTAAATAATTTAGCGCCCATACGATTCGATAGCTCGGCTTGTGAGGGCAGATGATAATGTCTACTTCACAAAATATTAAACGTTTGAGGCAAAAGTTCTTAAAAAAATCGTTATGAAAAATGAAAAGAGTTCGTCATACGATTTAAAAAAGGTTTTAACAGAAATTTTTGAGTATAAGAAGATTATTAATTAGATCTAAAAAAACTTTTTTACGCATTTCTAATTAAACCAGAGAAATTATATTTAGATTCGAGTAATTCAGATACTAATAGAACGCGTAAATATTAAAGGATAGAAATGTTTGATATATTATATGCTACTTATTCAAAGAAAGATATAATTTAAAATTTTTCGTCTGTGTCCAACCAAAAAATAATGTAATATATAAAAACAAAACAGATTTCCATTTTGCTCAGTATAGCAATGAATAATACGAAGTACTAACTAGCAATAAATATTGCGAAATTCAATTTAATATGCATTTTGAAATGTTGATTTTATATTTTTTATAGAAAAAGTCAGTGTCTCGTCTCGATATAATTAATGTACCGTTTCCGTATTATCGTTGCGTTTGGTTGAAGTCGCCCGACATCGCACGCAATTACTATACACACAGTACATCATTACCTACACGTCACGCTCCCTTGACTTTGGTTTTACCCGACCTATCAAAACTTAGTGCAAGGTCAACAATCTTGCATAATTATAATGCGCAATTACTTTGCTATCTACTTTTCACGTGTAGGTACCAGATACACTAACGTCACCTGATTAATTAAACGATTTGTTTATTTTGTTAAAGGCTTTCTAATCAAAACACATTGCGACACTATTTATATTACATACAACATTTTTATTCCACAGTCGTTAAATATACATTATCAGTTTAAGTACCTAACTGGAATTAAAAAAAATACTTGAAAAATTTGAATTTTGTTCATATAACGTTATTGCTTAGAGATTTTAAATTAAAAACTTAATTAGGACCATAAGCTGTTAATTTTTTTAAACGAATAAAATTAATATAATATAGCGTTTAGAAATAGTCGAGACTTTACATTAATAATAAATTACACCCACAATTGACTATATCTGAATCAAATGTCACTAAAAGTAGATTTTTCCTATATACGTGCAAATCTACAACTCTAATAGAATGAGCTTTATTTATTGTTTATACACTAAAAAGTCTAGCTATACTGTGACCCTATTGAAGCAATTAGTGACATGATGTGAATATGTAAAAACAAAAAACCGTAACTTCTTCAGTGTACATATATTTACATAACAGTGACATGTATAGCACAGAAAAGAGGTATACTTAAGTCCGTTTAAGGAGTACTTAATATTCGGTTGTTTTGTTTCAACCTGCAATATACATGCTTCAGTAACTCTCTCTGCCTGTTTCTGTCGACCATCGTTTATAATCTTAAAAGTTATTTTAAAATATTCTTTACGTTTCCAATGTCATTATCGACAATGAAAAATCAATCTTAAACTACTTTCTTTTATGTAGAAAATAATTTTCTAGATACAATTAATATGTTAATGCATTCTGAGGGGTACTATCAACATACAATAATCGGGTTTTTGTATTCGTGCAGTAGTTTACTCTGCAATAACGATTATCTAATAACTAATTATTACTAATTGGCTTGCGAATATAATCCAAATGTTATTTTAAGTACACACTATGTGCTTTTTCTATGTAGATGTGAATTTAATTTTTTTTTAAATCAATAACTAGCTTAGCATTTTGATTGTCAAAATAGATGTGATGTAACTATGACGAATCAACTGAACTGCTTTATCAAGGTATACGTCTGAACAAAAGCATAAAAAGCGAGCAAAACTCAAAAAACTCGGTGATATTTTGAAAGCTAAAATGTAAAATTCTCGGTGCAACATTATGGCTTATTGTATATTGCTGTATGTGAGAAGTAATAACAAAGGATTATTTATGCGAAATGTGAGAATGGAAAATACGATACATTTTAATACATGTTTTTTGGAATTGTGAAGACGAACTTTTTTTTCAGTGTGTTTTAGCAACAAAGACGGCCTGATGAGAAATTTAATATTAACGTTAATGTTATAGACATTTTTAAAAGAATTTCTAACGTAGTACGTGTTCGTTAATTTCTCTTGCAAAAGTCAACAGAGCATAAAACATTTTAATTTCTTTCCTTCTCGTATATTCTACTTTTGATAAAAATATAAGAGCTAACTCTTTTACTTTATAAGTCGTTTGAAAAGATTAGTGCCGTATCAAAAGGAAAAATACCCTATACTTAAGTGAAAAGGTTAACCTTAATTTTAATGTAGGCACAGACCAATTCAGTAACTACAGAACCTTACGGAATGGATATAAGGTGTTTTTTACAATCGAAGTGCTATGTTTTATGTTCGTTTCTATGTA